GCTCACCTGCAGCAGGCTTTCCTGATGAGCACCTGGGCTTTATTAGACGGCACTGAGGAGCTGGTCTTCGCCGGAGCAACACACACACTATGGTATATGTCCTGCTGCTATTATTTGTAAACTTACCTGTGTTTTTCTATGTCCAGTGAACCTGCTCGTCATCCTCTAAAGCCGTCTGGAAAACATCTCTTCCCCGCTCACCTACCTGTCTGCCTCCAACTCATTAAGAAACTCACCTGCCTCAACTCACCTGCTTCTCTGACAAACATCTCTACCTGGAAGCAAACCCTTACCTTTTGTGGATCCATTTCATCTCCTCTGAGCCGCTTCACCTTCCATCGTCTGTAASAAATCTCAACTTACCTTTACTACATAACCAACATTACTTACCTGCAAAGACTCACCTCGTCCCCTTCCTTTACAGCCCCTCCCAGATCCATGTCCAGACCTCACTGTAAATAAAAACTTACCTTTYGCATACTGCCTCCTGTGTCTGTTTCAATCCAAATCCGCTTCACTTTGACTCACCTGAGAATCCTGATAATGAGATATTTAAACAATACTTTCAGTGTGACATAGAATATACCAAGAATCAAAAAATAGTAGTTTTTCACCCTTCAGTTAATMATTAACCTCTGTAGCCTACAATAAAAATTTGAGATAGAGGTCAACAGTTTAAACGACAGGGGGCCTGTTCTAATTGAACATCAAGTTGCAGGTTCACAAATTTATAAAACATAAATCTGTGTGAGCTACATCTTGCTTATAAATAATTGTATTTAAAAATAATACATAAAACTGCAATGGCATGAGGCAGAATAATTAATGTTATTTGTGGTCTGTTTAAGGCAACTTTATATCAACGTGCCTCTTTTTCATGTGAAAGGATGGGTTGTCTGTGATGCTGGAGTTTGAACCCAATCAGAGGGGTCTTGACTATAGAGGTCAAGTCACAATAAAACTGGTTCTTCTGCTAACGGCAGGTTAGGGGATTTCTGAAGCAGGGTTGACTTAAAAAGTGAGGACCATTTGAATGTTATTTTTGAAACACCAGTGGATCAGAGACACTTACTCCTCTCTTTGACATTCAGGAGTCATGCTTTTGCCTCGTGTGTTTGCAGTGTTTGTATTCTTCAGTCTATGTCTCAGTTTCTTCTTCATTCCACACTGTGATGGGGGAAACATTCTAGCTTATCCAATGGATGGAAGCCACTGGATCAATAAGAAAATTCTCCTAGAAGAACTTCATGCCAGGGACACAACATCACTGTGGTCAGACCTTCTACCAGCTGGTATATCGCAGAAAAATCTCCCCTGTACACGTCAATTTCATTTGAAATGGAAGCAGATAGTATGGACGACTTCTTTGGTGCTTTCGCAGACAAACAAATAAGGGTATGAGATCAGAGATGCATGTATTTGATCATATAAGTGTGCTTTGAATGCTAAATACTTTTTATATTTTAGGTGAACCAAGAAGGAGCTTCACTGCTGACTTTCTTCAAGCTCACCAAGACACTCCTTTCTTTGCTGGCTTAAGGCCATTTACTTTGGTGTGAAGGTTTATCTCAAATCTTCGAAAGTCCTAAAATTATAAAATGCCTAACAGGCTCCAATTAAGATTTGGTTGTCACTGATCCAGCATTAGCACCAGGAGTTGTGTTAGCTAAATATCTCAAACTGCCATTAGTCCTCAATGTGCGCTGGATTGACAACCTTCTACGTCTGCAGGAAAGAGGAGCTGCAAAGATCCTTCAGTTAGCTGAAATTAATGGCCATGCATTTGAAGCAGGTGTTAAAGAAGTGCTTTATAAAGACAGCAACAGACAGAACATGCAAAGACTGTCTCATTTACATAGAGATCAACCAATATCTCCCATGGAGAAGGCCGTCTTCTGGTTAGAGTATGTGATGCGCCATAAAGGAGCTGGACATCTGCGCACAGAAGCATATAAGATGCCCTGGTACTCCTACTACAGTATAGAYGTACTACTCTTYTTAATGRCTGTAGTAGCTGTGCTCWTTTTGTCTGTTTWTGCYRTTATTAGATTGTGTTGCAGCAAGAGTAGAAACACAAAAATCAAAGAAAACTGACTGTCATTTAAACTTTGTTAATGTTGTTCCTGGAATAATCTTTGTGTTTAATTTAAGTAATTTATTTTTCCCAAAAATGCAGCATTGGATTTCAAATATTTGGATGAAAATTTGTGATGAAACAAACATGTTTATTTTTCTTTTCTTTTACAAAATCTTGATTTACTTTTGAAAAGCAATACTTTTGCCCTGATTTTGAATAAACACACATTTAAAAATTAGTGTTTTTTTTATCCCTTCAGTTAATCATTACCCCATGCAGCCCACAAAAAAAAAAAAAAAAAAAAAAAAAAAAAAACGAGTTAGAGGTTAATGGTTTGAACACAAGTCCTGTGCTTGTTGAATAGCAAGTAGGTTATAAAATTCATAGAACATCAATATATATGGATTACAGCTTGCTCCTAAGTAACATAAAAAACTGCTGTGGTGAATTTTGTGTACTGGTCCTTTAAGAAAATGTGAACGAGCATATCGGAGCGCGCATGAAGCAGGCACGCGCACGCTTCGCTAGGAGAGCTTCAGTTGCTTCAGTAAACATCTAGCTGTGTGGACGCGCTTTCATGTCTCTCTTAAATAAACATGTCCAAAGCTGAGGAAATAGTCTCTCCTTCATTCAAATGTTAGCCTAGAGTTTATTGACAAGTCTTCAGAAAGAAGTCCACTGGTTTTCAGCGACCCAGGAGCAGACGGTGAGCAGACAGAGCAGAACCACCGACAGCAACCCAGCATCGTAGCAGCAAGCCACCGACAGCGAAACCAGTCGGAGCAGCAGCCCCAGATCAGCCCCAGAGGGAGCAGAAACGGAACCAGAGACCAGAGAGGGTCACTACACTGCAATGGCATAATGCAGAAGAATTTGTGTGGTTATTAGCAGATTGTTCATGACAGCTTTATGTAAATGTGCCCCTTTTTCACGTGAAAAAATGSGTTGTCTGTGAAGCTGGAGTTTGAACCCAGATATCWGAGGGATCTTTGGAATAAACAGTAAAGTTCTTGTCACAACAAAACTGGTGCCTCTGCTGATCACAGGTAAATTAATATCCGAAGCAGGGTTGACTTAAATAGTGAAGACCGTAGTTACTTTGTAGCCTTTATACTTGTTTGATTATTATTTTTGAAACACCAGTGGATCAGAGACATTTCTTCCTGTCTTTGACATTCAGGAGTCATGCTTTTGCCTCGTGTGTGTGGAGTATTTGTATTCTTCAGTCTATGTCTCAGTTTCTTCATTCCACACTGTGATGGGGGAAACATTCTTGTGTGCCCAATGGATGGAAGCCACTGGATCAATATGAAAATTCTCCTGGAAGAACTGCATGCCAGGGGACACAACATCACTGTGATCAGACCTTCTGTCAGCTGGTACATCGCAGAAAAATCTCCCCTGTACACGTCAATTTCATTTGAAATGGAACATATGGACGACTTCTTTGGCGCTTTCATAGAAGAACATCTGAGGGTAAGCTAGCAGACCTGAGTGTAGTTGCCCCCCCCCCCACTTTGTTCAAATCTAAGAAAACTGGTGTCAAATGTTTGTGCTACATTTGTACTGTTTTGTGCAGCAAAAAAAATTTGTTTGTGCCGCTATCATTTTTAAGATATTAATGAAAGTTTCTAGAGGTCATCA